ATTATTATATGAGAGAGAACTTAAAACTGTTTGAATTAAATTTATTAAAACTGATTTTTCTGGGATTTCAAAATTTTTGTGATTCATATTAGAAATAATACTTATATAACTATATTTGATATTAACTCTGTTAATTCTTTAGGAGATTCATGTATTTTGGATCCTTGTTCTTCATTAAATGTAGATTGATAAGAAGATGAATTAAAAATGCCACCAGGTCTGTTGGACATGGGGTTTAACTTTATTATTTTTTGATGTTCTATTGCTATTGGGTCTTGCGATGAAGAGAGGGGTCGTTTGGATTTTGGAGGTTTTGTTATTGTATATCTGTTTGAAACTGTAGGGTGGGCGTGCTGGTTAGGGGGTGAGGGGGAAGTGGACAATTGAGTAGAGGAATATGAAAAGGAAGGAGCGTTCATATTTGGGATTTGATGTGAATTTAATGAGGAATTATTAGCTGTTATTGATGCATAGGTTACTTTAGGAAATAATTTAAGCGTTTCTTTGAAAGACAAGCTGTTTTCAGACATGTAATGTTTTATTTTTTTTTGACGGTCAAATTCTGGACATAACTCCCATTCGTTAGTGAAGTGTTTACCTTCACAGGAGAGACATATTTTATTAAAAGATGATAAAGAACAAGAATCGAAAGGGTGGGACTCATGACATTTAAGACATCTAGGGTTGCTTTTACATTGCTTACTCATGTGTCCATACCTATAACAGTTGTAGCAAATAATTACTTTTTGCTGGTATTTTTCTACATCATGTAAAACATGGTTAATTACATCATGGTTAATTACGATATATTTTGGTATATTTTGACATTTAAATGACACAATTACCGATTTTGTAGGTTTAAAAACTACTTTATCATCTGTTACTATTTTTCTCTTTATTCTTTTTACATAATCCACCGAGAATTTACAATGATGATCAAATTCTTTTATTTTATCCTTAAGATATTCTTCCGATATATCTGATTCTATATCCCTAACTACACCTAATTTAAATAATTGAAATTTCGGAATATATGCAATTAGATTTTTTTGAATAAGCAATTTAGAAGTAATTAAGGTAAGCACTAGCATAGTTTTTAAATGTTATTCTAATACGGTTGCGTCCAATTGAATCAATTTTTTTAATATAATTATCAATTTCCGGATGTACGGTAAATAATATTTCACCTATCTTAACTGCACTTAATTTGCCTGTAAAATTGTTATCACTGTTTTCAATAAAAATATGAAATGGCCCTAAATCAGTTTTTTCATATAAATATACAGGTCTGCTTTTTTCTGTCTCATTAGAATTTAGTGAGGTAATTTGTTTATCGGTTTTTAAATTAATAATATTATTAGGACTACTTATCGAGTTTTCTAGCTGATGGGATAAAAATCCATGGGAACCATAACTGCAATCATCCATCGCATCCTGATCCCTTGGCATTTTATCGGGGGGCTCGCCCCCGTTAGAAGACTCCATAAATGGAGCCTTCGACGACTAAACTAGTACTAATGTATATGTATTAAACTGTGGTAATCAAATCTAACTGTTTAGCACTTCCTAAATCACAAAGATTCGCGGAGAACTTTAAAAAGTATAAATTAACTTAAGATTATATGTTAAACTATCTGAAATTAAACTTTAAAGTGCGGAGAACTATTAAATTCGTATTTACACTTTCTATAGAAAGACCTCAACACAGCTATTTCGTATAGCAACCAACAAAGTCATCATAGCCAGAATGATCGCCAATGTTCGGAACGGACAGGCACCCTAAGAAGTGAAATGATTACTGGATTCGAAGCAGTAAAACAAACAATATTTCACTATTTATTAAATACTTTTAATAATAAAAATATTGATAGCCAACGGCCATTACAATACCATAATAAACCAAAAAACAGGTGAACTCTACTGTAACTGAACTCTTCTATAGTTACAATCTGACATGACATATGTCACTTTTAAAATCAAGGCGGGAATTGTGGTATTTTAACAAGAAGAACATGGCAGGCAACACACACTATATCACGGGTTGCATACATATAGGAGATTTGTTAAAAACTAATGCCTGGTTGCACCAATAGATCTTAAGCTCCAGCTTAGCCCAGCTCTGCTTATAGCTAGGTGTGCCTTAACTCTCACTTACGTTGCACCATAATTTTCGATTCTAAAATATTCTTTATATTCATAAAAATACAAAATTTAGTTGATCGCCGTCGGACGGTTGGTCGTGGTCGGTCGATCAATCTGAGCTGAGGCCTACCTATGGCACTTCTTAAGCTTAAGATATGTTGGTGCAACCAGGCATAAGATATATAAACCTGGGGAAAATGTGGCAACTTTTAAAACACAATTTGGGGAAATAAATTTTATGGGCCTGGCAACTCTGTCTTGTTGGGTTAGTATTCTGCGGATTCTGTGGTGGTCACGGGCAACGGGCTATATGTCATGACGTATGACCAGAGAACTACGAACGCAGAGAAGCGACACTCCTTTGATCTTGCGTGGGCAAGCCGCCAACGAGTGAAAATGACAGGAAAGTACCTTATTTTTTAATAGTCAGTGGGCATATTACACAATATAAATTCTTAAATAAAATTGAGCATTTATGTTGACTTTCAATAAATATGAAATATTGCACTGAAAAAATAATTACATGCAGGGCCGGCTTTTGTTGACATTCTAAATGGTGTAATTATTTTTGATTTACAAAAGGTTGCAAATACATCGCACAACGCAAAGTAATGGTGAAAATCGTATTGATGGAACCATAGATGAAAATACTTTTTTGTTTATTCTGATGTTGACGTTGATAATACAATAATACACCGATTCTTTTTGGCTTGTGTTGATACAAGATATAATTTGTTCGTCGTGGAATTTCCTAATAAATTATCTTTATCCTAATAACCTAAAAAATAATCAAAAAAGTATTACGAATCATTACAAGAGAGCATTAGGAAGATAAAACGAATTTATATCATTGTCATTACACATGATTCGGATATACATAGTAAATCCAGACTTTCAGTTTAAACTAATATTTGGATACAATTTATTTTGTTTACAATAGAATCAGAGTTAATACATACGATTTTTAGTTGATTGGTATTGCCTTTAAAATTATTTGTAGTATCTAGTTTGCCTAAGCCGGATTTGTAACAATTATTTCTGGTTTTGTTGTTAACTGCGGTTAGTACAATTCTTATACTTGAAGTCAAAACGACGAACCATTGAATCTTCAGGCCAGATACTGGGATTGAGAACTTCATTTTTATAATCCAATGGATATGAAACTTTAAAGTTTGCTTGGTACTCCGTAACCTTTAACTTCTTGAAGTAAAAATGTATATTTGGAGCATTTACCTTTAAATTATTGGTCAAATCTTCAGTTGTCTGTTGTGGAATTATATAACGGTGTAAATAAATAATGATTGATTGGAGTAAGATTTATGTCTGTTTACTCTTAATATTGGCTATGGGCATATGTGCTTGGTTGTAAATATAGTAATTGTCATCCAGTTCTAGTCTGTTAAAATGTAACTAACTTTCGCAATAAAATAATTACTAAAATACTAGATAGTTGTGTCTGAGATTAGCGAATCGACTATACATACACTACATACATTCAGTATCATTGTATATCCAAGATGGACGCCGCTACACAATAGCGGATTACTTATTTTTTCACAACTACTTCAATATGGGTATCAAATGAAAGGGTTTGACTAGTAGAAAAGAGTTTTTTGTATTTATAAATAATACTTCATTACTTACAACTATAAGAGTATTAGTATATTCTAAGTGTATTGTAAGTAATGAAGTATTTAACTTTTGTCAATATCTCATCTTAATAAATTTACAGTTTTCTCCTAATTAAGTCTCAAAATTGTCACTAAATATTGAGATATACAATAAATAAAGTTTTAATATTTTTTATTTGTAATTCCCATTTAAATATTTATTCCCTAAATATGTTGTGTACTCCGATCCATATATTTGATCTTTGTTATTTATATTTAACGAATTAAACATTGACAGACAACTTTTGTATATAGCAAAAAGTAGATGAGCATTTAGTTTTTTCATAATTTAATGTAAGTTTGTTTTGGTGAAAAAGACAGCAAATATTTGAAGTTATGTTAATGTAAGTTTGTTTATTTGCAATCATGTTTTTATTTTGAAGTCTTGTTCTGTTATAATTTTAAGATTTTCCCAATTTTCGATCTAATTAATTATGTTTCCAACAATTTTTAGTTTGAGCATCTTAGGAATTTCTTTGTTTCGTTTAAATCAAATATTCTCGTGTATAAAACCCACTATATATTTTTATTTCCTAAAAATACTATATTCGTATTGTTGTCTGCGAGCGCTTTCACACCAGTAGGCCAACATCTGTGTTGATTTTTTGACCTGAGCCTTCGGAGACAACAAATTTAATGTGTGTTCGTAGTTCTCTGGTTTTTATTCTGAACTATCCCTTGGCAAACCAAAATTTATTTTTTTATTGCTTCACTTAACGAGAGCTCGGGCGGACACGTCGGTGTCGGCTTACTCAAAGTCAAATTAATACTATTATGTAATAACTAATAATAATTACAAAGCAATAGTAATTACCTGTTATTATTCTTAGGAAATCTAAATAAACTTATTCCTTTTCCTGTCACAGATGAACATCCGCGAAACGCACAACAATAACCAGAAGACATTTTAAATACTTATAAATTAAACTTTTAACTATAAACTATAACTATAAACTTATATATTTAACTTATATATTTTAACTATAACTATAAACTATAACTATAAACTTTTAACTACTAAATAATTAGATAAATGGTCAAATGCACTTGTATAGTCGAGAGTTTACCACAGATGCCTACGGACTATCGTAAGCAACTTAAAATTGAAGAAAACGCACGTGTTTTTGACAGTAAAGCACCTTATTTGGGTCATGCGTATACAGAAAAATTACACGAATTCCGGGCCTCGTGTCGCTTCGCTTCTCCTTCCTGGTATGACGCCGATGAAGGTTTTTTGTTGTGTAAAATTTTCTGGAATGGTTTCTAAATTAAATTTGTTTATTAGCTATGGAAGTTAGAGTAGAAGCTAAGAAAGAGCTTGCCGAAGGCAACCAAAAATTTATAGAGAGCGATATATCGACATCATTAGATCTCCAAGACTTGAAGAATGAACCAGAAGAAAATCAATTAGGTGAGATTAGAAGTCATAAAAATATATAACAAAAATGCAGTAGGTCGCTTATTTTAAACTGCAAATTTATTTAATCAATTCTTGCATTTTTTATGAATTTTGTGATCGATCAGGCACATTATTTAAGTGTATTTTTCTCTCAAAATTTGCGCAGCATTTGAGGTGTTTTCTAAATACCTATTGGTTCCATGGGTTAAAATCTAAATATGGTTTGCATTTTTAATTTGTTGTTGTAAATAAGTATTTTTTCTGAATAGGTTATAGGGTAAAAATCGAATAAACGGTTTTTATAAATGATTTTTTTCGGAAACTACCAAAATGGTACTTAATTATTTGGCTAACTTTAATTTGAGTACAAGGAACATAACCTTTTCATCGAACTATTTTTTAGCAGATCATCATCTTTTCGTGACTGTCTTCTTTTTTCTCCCATTTATAAAAGTTATTCACTTCTGAAACTGTTACGTTAGGTCGAGATTTATGAACGATGTCTTTAAAATCAGTAAAATCATATAAACCATTTTTTTTTATTTATTTATTTTTTTCAATATGTGCATGTACACCATCTGCTGACATATGTGTATGTCCTTTTGTAAGATATTTAATAGTAATGCTCTTTTTGGAGAATAAAGGTCAATTTTTTTTTATTTTGTGCCGTACCATACATTTGTTGGCCCATAAGTAGAGGTGTTGTAAATCTCTTTCATGATTTAATATTGCACATATGGCATTAACTACATCACTGGCAGTTCGGCCTGCTTGCGCCTCGTGCCACAAAATGCAAATTGGGTTTTCCTTGCTGTTTTTTTCTAAAGGTGCAAAAGTTAAATTAAAAGCTACTAGCCTGCTAATAAAAAAAGAATCCTTGATATTTGGCATATCAGGCAATAAAAATACTTTTTGTAAATATATCGAGAAATACTTGATTTGATCCGAATTCGCGATCACAGAGTCCAGGCGGTACTTATCTATTGCAGTGTCTGCTTTCAATCTATGTGCGTCGTGTTTATGTATAAGCTCTCCTGATAAGACTTGTGGCGGTTGAATTTTTTTTGCTTAATTTTCGTAATACAAGCAGTCGACGCATTTATCTCCCTTTGGGGTGAAAAATGAAATTTTTACTTCTTTTATAGTCTTTCTAATGTTTCAGATGAGCATTTAGTTGTGGCATGTTTACTTTTAAAATCATTGTACATGGCAGTAAATCTCAAAGTCCTGGGTAAATATCACGCAAGAGGAGTATGCTTCCCTCTGTAGTGGCTGGCATTGGGATTAAAACTAAGAATATGTTCCTCAATAGAACATTTATTTAATCTTGGTTTCCTACCGCCGCTATTCTCTTTTACCGATTCATACATTGCGCTTTGCTTTACAGCTTTACTTAATTCTGTAATTACTCCATCACTACGAAAGCCTAAACTGTCCAAGAAAAATTTACGGCAAACCTGAATATTTTCAGAGTGATTTCTGGGAAGAAAATATACTCGCGATTCATTTTTGGCATACCCATTTCCATAACTTTTAACTTTTCGCTGCTGAACATTTGTAAAACGAACACATTTATTTAGAAAAACACGTCTACTAGTATACGCCAATCTCCAATAATTCTCCCATAGAACAACTAAGCACTCAACTCCGGTGAACAGTTTAATACGAACTCATTTAAATAATCGCAGTACCTATGAGCCATCACAGCTCCAGATCAACCGTAGAGTGCATTCAGCAATTATATTAAGGCATTCCAATCCGTAATAATAAGGTATTATTATGGCATTACTCCCATCAGATATGCCTAGTTACCTAGTTTCCAGATCAAACACCTCGACAATAATGAAAATCAATTGTTTATTACATGTTACCAATCAATTGCCACCAACATGCGACAAACTTAACTTAAAATTAGTTGGTATATATACAAATTTAAATACTTGTAAAACCCGATAACAAAATGTAAAACCAAGTATGGGAATTTTGCTACTTTAAAACCTAGCACCTCCTTGTATTTACTGGGTTATTAAATTGCAATGGAGCTGTACTGTGTTTTATATTGTTGTAAATGCATTTCAGTCGAGTACTTACTAGGTTTTGATATTGTATATCTTTAAAAATACGATTCCTATAACAACCGGAATAAGCGCATTCGATAGAGAATATTCCAAGTATAGGACACATCTGAAAAAAGTGATTATGAAAAATATGTCCCTTACTCGGTTTTGAATTTAGACAGCCGAGATGCTTCGTCGAGAGTCTGTTTCTCGCTTGTTAGCTGTCCTTACTAAATTTGCCATGAATTGACCTCTCGAATACATCCTGGATACTTATTTAAATTTATAAAAATGAAAATTATCATTTATTCTTTATTATAAAATATATATTATTAAATCTATTCAAACGTATTATTTTTAATAGCAATTTATACACTGTACAACTTTTATATGTTAACACCGTTGGTCATGTAGGCGTACCATCGGTGTACTTTACTTAATATTGTTCTGAAGCTATTTTCTTGTGGCATTGTAAATTAATTACTATTAAACTGGGAATAAGCCACAATTAAAGATAAAAATACGTTTATTGACGTTTCAATTTCCACTTCGAAAATCGTTCTCAAAATACAAACAGTAAATTAAACAAATTTTGTTTTTTGTTACATAGTGAAAAATTCTTCTAATAATTTAATTTTATCTGACTCATTTATATTGACAATTCAGACATACATTATGCATTTTAAAGTAGATGACTTTAAAATGATATTGCCAATATTGTTGAGTTGCGCTCCTGGGGCGACTTTACTTATAAGATAGTTCATTCGATTACATGAAATCAACTTTAACTTGAGAATAACCGTCAGAAAAAAATCATGTAATTCGTCTTTAAAAAGACAAACACATGACATGATGACAGTAAAATTCCCCTGTTAGTGATTCCATAGTAAATTATGAGGGAAAACCAGGAAAAAACCTCATAATACTATCCCGACATTGTAAGTATTTGTTCGTGAATTTAGTTTACCTTCAACAAACATCAAAATTCTGATTTTATATGTTACGTTATTTAAAAAGCATAAATGATGTATCCTCTATATGTTACTGACTTACTAATACTGGTATTTTCTTATTAATAACTTCCTCTTTTAATATTGGTAACCAGATCCTACTACATTCTGCCGAGGAATTTGCGACACAATTGGCCTCATTTAGCATAATTAGAGCCGCTTCTTTGATTTTTCTTTTTTTACCATCCGTTTCTTTTAGGACTACATTTGAATTATTCCATTGAACCCTATGTTCATTATCCCATGCGTGTTTACAGATTTGAGATCTATCAAATTCTTTATTTTTAATATAAGATTGATGTTCACTTATTCTAACATTTAATGGCCTTGATGATTCACCTAAATAAAACTGATCGCATTCACAAGGTATTTTATAAATGCAATTCTTTGTCCTTTCTTGTTCATTGTTAGGTTTGGTTTTGGACAAAATAGATCTCAACGTGTTTGTTGTTTTGAATGTTGTTGAAATTTTGAATTTATTTCCTATCTTTTTAAGTTTTTCTGATAGTCCTTTTATGTACGGTATTGTTATTTTCCCCATATTATTCCTTGTATATGCTGTAGGAACTCGTTCTAAGTTGTTTTGTTCTATTTGATCGATTGTTGAAAATTCCTTATTTATAAACGATAAAGGATAATCATTTTTTAATAAAACAGATGTTAACAAATGTTTCTCCTCCAAGAACGAATTTCCATTAGAACAAGTAATTTTGGCTCTATCGTATAAGGATTTAATTATTCCCTTTTTTACATTAATATTGTGATTTGATTTGAAATTTAAATATCTATTGGTGTGTGTTGGTTTTCTATACACCTGAGTCTCATATCCAGTATCGTTCTTAGAGATTAAAACATCCAGGAAAGGTAGCGTGTTATTATATTCCTTTTCCATGGTAAATGTTATTGTCTCTTCTTTATCGTTTATATCATTTAGGAATGTGTCCAACAACTCTGATCCATTAGGCCATATTGAGAATACATCATCTACATACCTCCACCATACTGTGGGTTTGAAATTTTGTTTAGAAATGATATTTGTTTCAAAGTCTTCCATAAATATATCGGCTAAGAATGGAGATAAACTAGAGCCCATTGCTAGACCAAAATTTTGTTTATAGAATTCATTATTTAGTTGAAAATATGTATTATCAGTACATAATGTTAATAACTCCATTATAGCCGCTATGTTTAGTCTTGTTCTAGTTGCCAATAAATCATCACTCTCTAATTTTGTCTTGACTATACTTAAAGTCTTATTTAATGGCACATTCGTAAATAAACTATTTATGTCAAAACTTACCAAAATAAATTCAAAATTTCAACAACATTCAAAACAACAAACACGTTGAGATCTATTTTGTCCAAAACCAAACCTAACAATGAACAAGAAAGGACAAAGAATTGCATTTATAAAATACCTTGTGAATGCGATCAGTTTTATTTAGGTGAATCATCAAGGCCATTAAATGTTAGAATAAGTGAACATCAATCTTATATTAAAAATAAAGAATTTGATAGATCTCAAATCTGTAAACACGCATGGGATAATGAACATAGGGTTCAATGGAATAATTCAAATGTAGTCCTAAAAGAAACGGATGGTAAAAAAAGAAAAATCAAAGAAGCGGCTCTAATTATGCTAAATGAGGCCAATTGTGTCGCAAATTCCTCGGCAGAATGTAGTGGGATCTGGTTACCAATATTAAAAGAGGAAGTTATTAATAAGAAAATACCAGTATTAGTAAGTCAGTAACATATAGAGGATACATCATTTATGCTTTTTAAATAACGTAACATATAAAATCAGAATTTTGATGTTTGTTGAAGGTAAACTAAATTCACGAACAAATACTTACAACGTCGGGATAGTATTATGAGGTTTTTTCCTGGTTTTCCCTCATAATTTACTATGGAATCACTAACAGGGGAATTTTACTGTCATCATGTCATGTGTTTGTCTTTTTAAAGACGAATTACATGCTATGATTTTTTTCTGACGGATATTCTCAAGTTAAAGTTGATTTCATGTAATCGAATGAACTATCTTAAGTAAAGTCGCCCCAGGAGCGCAACTCAACAATATTGGCAATATCATTTTAAAGTCATCTACTTTAAAATGCATAATGTATGTCTGAATTGTCAATATAAATGAGTCAGATAAAATTAAATTATTAGAAGAATTTTTCACTATGTAACAAAAAACAAAATTTGTTTAATTTACTGTTTGTATTTTGAGAACGATTTCCGAAGTGGAAATTGAAACGTCAATAAACGTATTTTTATCTTTAATTGTGGCTTATTCCCAGTTTAATAGTAATTAATGTACTTTACTTAGCCTCAAAATGCGAAAACTGTATTAACTTACGAAGACAACGGCACTTCCGTTCGGAATGCCGACGAAGACTATGCTAACTTAAGATAGGATAATTTTCGTTGGAAAATGTATAGATATACAAGTTAGTACAATATCGAAGTGCAAAATTGATTGCCTAAACATGGTCAAATTTACTTAGAACTTTATTCGTTGAAAGATATCACGGTAATCTACTTCTTTGGGGGTGTAACTCAAAAACCCCAAAAATTGAGCTAGTACAGTCTTCGTTGGACGAGTCGATTTAAGGTCAAACATAATTATCTATAGGTTATGTTCATTGTATGAAAATTAAATTTAACCCCCACTTATTTTAAACTGCAAATAACTTTAATTATATCTTGAATTTTCCATTAATTTTAAGATCGCCCATACACATTAATGCTCAGTGTATTATTCTCTCAAAATTTGCACAGTATGAGGTGTTTTGTGTTTTCTAAATATCTACTTCCTGTTTCACTGGTTAATAAAAATCTAGCATTTTGCATTTTAATTTGTTGTAAATAAGTATTTTTTTCTAAATAGGTTATTATATAAGAGAGATAAAAGGGTAAAAGGTAATTATTTACCTGAAAAGCCAACAAAAATATGTAATTGTCTTATAGTAAGAAACGTAATTAGAAAAAAAATAAATGTCAGTAATTTTTACTATTAACCTGTGGAAAAATACATAAAATTGTTTAAAATAATTTTTAATTTAGTTAGATTATTAGAATTTATTATGTAGCATTTATTTTTCCGGAATAGTTTTCATTAAATTTGTTTATTAGCTATGGAAGTTAAAGTTGAAGTTAAGGAAGAGTTTGCTGAATGTAACCAAAAATGTATAGAGAGTCATATATCGACATCACTAGATCTTGAAGACTTAAAGGATGAACCAGAGGAAGATCAACCAGGTGAGATTAAGCTAACTCGATGGATTAAGTCATAAAAATAAATAGTAGAAATGCCATATAGTCACTTTATAACTGTAAATTTCTTTAATAAATTGTTGCATTTTCTATGAATTTTGAGATCACTTTTAACTCCATTGTTTCAAAGGTAAACGAATAGTTCCTGAATAGGCACATGAAACCATGTTGAACCATGAAAAAATAAAAATATTACAAAAATATAATTTATTAATTTTGTAAAAAGAACTCCAACGCATGTGCCTAATAATTAGAATTTTATATACATTGAAAAAGACGATAATACACAAATGGAAAATTTTATCCACATTCAGATAAAAGTGATGTAGGTAAAATTTTCAATTTAGATATTAGAATAGAGTAGAGCAGAGTAAATTTTTATTTGCATAAATTTTTAAACATAATTGAGCAAATAACGTCACATTATTAATTACACGTTAAAAAAATATATATTGACATCACACATTTAAAATATATTAACATTACAAATTAAATATGCTGATCAATGAGAACGAGAGGCCAGGCACTCCACTACAGTATAGGGCTCTATGTCAACTAGGTGTTGAAAAACCTTTCTTTTAAAAGCTCTATAGTGTGTTTCCTGTTGAATGTCAGATGGTAGACTATTATAAAATTTAACACAGGTATACAAAGGACTTCTTTCTGTTATAGACAATCTGTGAAGTGGCAAATTCAAATTAAGGCTTCTTGTATTCATGATTGGGATGCAGGTGATAAAACAAAGAAATTTTTTTAAAAAGGAACATACATAATACATTCAAATATATAGATGGCTGGGAAAGGGAATATATTGAGTGATTTGAATCAGCCTCTACAGGATTCTCCCGCCTTTAGTCCTAAGATCACCCGGACTGCCTTTTTTGGACTATAAAGACAGTTGAGCTATCTACTACAGCACCCCAGAAGATTACTCCATATCGCATAACAGAATAAAAGTTTGCATAATATACTGATAGTAAAATTCCCTGGTCTAGATAGCTCTTTAACACTCTTAATGAGTAGCAGGCTCTATTCAGTTTTTTTGTTGTATTTTGTATTTGTTCCCCCCAATTCAGATTCTGGACAATATGAATACCAAGAAATTTAACTGATCTAGCAGGTTCTGTGTTTTGTGATAGAAGATTAATTGTATCTGGAAACTGTTCTTGTGACTGGCTGGTTCTAAAGTAGACAAAAACTGCCTTATCAGTATTAAGCAACAACCGATTTCCACTGAACCACTGTTCAGCCTTGCTTAAAATTTGCTCTGCCACTGTGAGTAGTGTTTCTAAAGTTTTTTCCCAAAAAACCACATTTGAGTCATCAGTGAAATTTACAAGGTTTGAGGAACTACTAACAACCGCATTTGGAAGGTCTTTATGTAGACCAAAAAGAGAAAAGGCCCCAGGACCCTCCCCTGTGGTATACCTAATTTTAAATTGATAGGTTCAGAGTAAACCTTACATCCCCTTTTCTTCAGGCATACCTTTTGCGACCTATATGTGAGAAATGATTTTATCCATTTTAATGCCGTTCCCTGTATTCCATAAAGATGTAATTTTTGTAATAAAAGAACATGATCTAGGTTATCGAAAGCCTTAGATAGGTCTAAAAAAGCACCTAGTGTTTTCATCTTTGCCTCCAGTTTTTCTAAAATTTTTGATTTCAACAAAGCGGGGTGCAGGGAGATCAACAGATCTCCCTGCAAGAAAACCATGCTGTGAACTACTAAATAAGTTGTTTGTAGTAAAAAAGTTTTGTAGCCTGAAATATATTGCATTTTCGAATATTTTTGAAAATGATGGAAGAAGGCTTATTGGTCTATAGTTCTCCATCTTAGTAACATCACCTTTTTTATGTAGTGGCTTGACAATTGCCAGTTTTAAACTTTGAGGAAATTTACCTTGCCTGAAAGAAGCCTAACTATAAAAGAAAGAGGAATAGAAATCTCTGATGAAACATATTTAATTAAGTTGGTTGATATTTCATCATAACCAGAGCTATGCTTGTTTTTTAAGTTATTTATTCATCATCAGTGGCATTACTGCTCTTCATGAGCCAAAGCCTTCTTCAGAACAATCTTGTGTTGTGATTTGGTCTTCTGAACAATTTTTTCCATTACTGAGCAAGTTATATGTGATTGGTAAATGGATATATATTAGATATTCACATATTAATGGGGTAAATGCGTTGTAAATCACTTAATGGTTCTAAATCACTTAATCATTTAATGGGTTTCTGCTTCTTAATTATAACCAATATAGAATGTTTTGCATATTTTTTTAATTATTCATTAGTTATCAACCACACTGTATTATTATTTAAATATTTACGACATACATTATCTAGTATGTTAAATAGCAAGAATAATGAATTCACCTAAAAAATGTTTCTCTTTTCTAAAAAATACAATTCTAGAATAGAGGAAAATGTACTGGCCTTAAATTTACTAGGTTTAAGACTCAATTGTGGTTTTAGGCCTGCAGTTTTATGATGGTTAAATTAAAGCCATATTAAATGCAAATGCTCTTCAATAAATACAAATAAAGATAAAATTTAGATTTGAAAACATATAAAACAAAAACATGCTTTTAGTTTGTTTATTGTATTGATTTCTTCAAAATTTGTGTACTTTTCATTTTTGCTAGATAGTAACATGTATAGTTGGTTTATATTTTAGGTCACCTGCAGAAAAAGAACAGAATTACAATTATGAAAACATTCACTGAACAGTCATTTTACAAAGAAGAATATGTGGGTAGACAGGCTGAAGAAAAAACATTAAAAAATGAAAATATCAGAAAAGTTCAGACTGGAAAAAGATCTTACAAATGTGAAATTTGTTTAAAACCATTTTCTCATCGACTAAATTTGGAAATACATTCGAGAATACATTCTAAAGAAAAGACTTACAAATGTGAAATTTGTTTTAAGCAATTTAACCAGGCTGGTAATTTGAAATTACATTTTCGAAGACACACTGGAAAGAAAGCTTACAAATGTAAAATTTGCTTTAAGCAACTTACTAAAACCAGTACTTTGAAATCACATTTGATGACACACACTGGAGAAAAACCTCACCAGTGTAAAATTTGTTTTAAGCAATTTACTCAAAGAGGTTCTTTGAAATTACATTTGGTGACACACACTGGAGAAAAACCTTACAAGTGTAATATTTGTTTCAAGCAGTTTACTCAAGCCAATAATTTGAAATTACATTTGGTGACACACACTGGAGAAAGACCTTATAAGTGTGATATTTGTTTCAAGCAGTTTACCCGAGCTGATAATTTGAAATCACATTTGGTGACACACACTGGAGAAAAGCCTTACAAGTGTGATACTTGTTTCAAGCAATTTAGTAATGCAACTAATTTAAACAGGCATTTAAGAAGACACGCTAAAGAAAAGCCTTACAAGTGTGATATTTGTTCCAAGCAGTTTACCCACGCAAATTGTTTGAAACGACATTTGATGACACACACTGGAGAAAAACCTTACAAGTGTGATATTTGTTTCAAGCAGTTTACCCGAGCCGATAATTTGAAATCACATTTGGTGACACACACTGGAGAAAAACCTTACAAGTGTGATATTTGTTTCAAGCAGTTTACTCGAGTCGATAAGTTGAAATTACATTTGGTGATACACACTGGAGAAAAACCTTACAAGTGTGATACTTGTTTCGAGCAGTTTAATCAAGCAGATAATTTGAAATTACATTTGGTGACACACACTAAAGAAAAGCCTTACAAGTGTAAAATTTGTTCCAAGCAGTTTACTTTAGCAGGTAATTTGAAGTCACATTTGAGATCACACACAGGAGAAAAACCTTATCAATGTGAAATTTGTTTAAAGTGTTTTAGTCATGCATGTACTTTAAAAACACATTTAAGAACACACACTAAAGAAAAGCCTTACAAGTGTGATATTTGTTCCAAGCAGTTTACTGTTTCAGGTAATTTGAAGTCACATTTGAGATCACACACAGGAGAAAAACCTTATCAATGTGAAATTTGTTTAAAGTGTTTTAGTCAGGCATGTACTTTAAAAACACATATAAATATACACGGTAAAGAAAAACCTTACAAGTGTGATATTTGTTTCAAACAGTTTACTCAAGCCTATAATTTGAAATCACATTTGGTGACACACACTGGAGAAAAACCTTACAAGTGTGATACTTGTTTCAAGCAGTTTAATCAAGCAGATAATTTGAAATTACATTTGGTGACACACTCTAAAGAAAAGCATTACAAGTGTGAAATTTGTTCCAAGCAGTTTACTTTAGCAGGTAATTTGAAGTCACATTTGAGATCACACACAGGAGAAAAACCTTATCAATGTGAAATTTGTTTAAAGTGTTTTAGTCATGCATGTACTTTAAAAATACATTTAAGAGCACACACTAAAGAAAAGCCTTACAAGTGTGATATTTGTTCCAAGCAGTTTACTTTTTCAGGTAATTTGAAGTCACATTTGAGATCACACACAGGAGAAAAACCTTATCAATGTGAAATTTGTTTAAAGTGTTTTAGTCAGGCATGTACTTTAAAAACACATATAAATATACACGGTAAAGAAAAACCTTACAAATGTGATGTTTGTTTCAAGCAGTTTACTCAAGCAGGTAATTTAAAAGCACATTACAGAATACACACCGAGCGAGAAAAACCTTAGTAGCAGAAGAAATTGTTTTCTGCAGGTCCTTTGGAGAATATTTGAATAATGGCAAAGCCTTACAAGTGTGAAATTTATTAATTTCGCTCAGGTTTTGAAAGCACTTTACTAAAATATTTAAGGACTCGTTCCTGGCCTTGAATCTGAGATAACACTCCTCCAATTCCCACATTACTTGCAACTGTATCTACAGTAGGTGATCAAATTATTATGATCACTTCAAAAAACTTTGTATTTTGCTGTTTAATAAAGAATAAAACTGCATATAAGCGTCTAATGATGTAAATATAATATAATATATTTAATATTTTGTGTGACCTCCTTTAGCTTTGATCCTCCTTGGCATGCTTTGAATGTTTCTCAGGCAGTCTTCTATTTTATCGTTTCTGTGCCAGGTGGCAATGAGACTCTCAATTAACTGCTGCTTATTTGTGACAGTTTTGTGGGCAATCCTCCTCTTCATAAGCTTCCATAGATTTTCGATCGGATTGAAGTCTGGGGAATTACCTCGTCAGTTCAGTTCTTTAATTTTCTTTTTTTTAGGTACGATGTTACTGTTTTTGCCTTATGGCACGGTGTTGAATCGTGCATAAAGGTAAAATCCTCCGATTCGCCAAACCAGTCTTTGATTTGTGGCATGAGCTTTCTTTCCAGAACTTCAATATACTGAAGTTGATTCATGATTCCATTCACAATGTACAGCCTCCCTGTGCCCTTACTGCTGATCACAGACCATACCATGATCTTGAGAGGATGCTTTACTCGCTCCACTATGCAATCCTTGTGATATTTTTCACCCACTCGCCTTCAGACGAAGGCCGACTTATCCATGAGTATCTCCACTGTAGACTCATCGGATAAACAAATCTGTGAATAAAAAAAAACTATAAGTAATTTTTTTGAGGATAAAAACAGTGGATATAGGGATTTAAACTTTAGTAGTGACGTAATTTACCTTATTCCAATCCTCAATTGTCCAATTTTAATGTTCTTTGGCCCATTCCAGTCTCTTTTCATCATTGCGATGATCAACTTTACTTTTTGGCAGGGCGACATAATTTGAAACCTTGCTCAGCAAGCCTTCCGCGGACTTTCATGTCAGAAACTGGCATCCCAGCTTCACGAATAAGTTCCGTGAGGATTCTTCTTAGCTTCTTTCTATTGTTTACGAAGATATCCCTCATTTTGCTTTCGTCTCTGGGTGTAATGACACGCTTTCGATCACATTTTTGGTCACGCTGGTAAGTCAGGGGTTTGTTTGTATCAATTTTTGTCTTGATATTGCTCACTGTTGTTTGCGCTACTTGGCATTTTTGAGCTATCTGACGTTGGAAAAGCTTTGGATTCAATAAAAGTGTCTGTATCTCCACCATTTTAGACACAGGGACGTCTTTAGCCTTACCCATTATGATTTTCTTCTTAAAAATCGAAATTTTTTGAAAATGTCTTTAAAATTAGAACTGATAGTTTTTTTTCACTCACAATCACCACTAATACATTAGTAAAACATACTACAAAAATAAAACGATACTAATCTTTCAAAAACAATACAAAAACATACCAATTCAAGTGTAAACTCCAAGCGCAAATTCACCACAATGTGTATGTTGTCACGTAATTTGACACAAATGACAGTTCTAGAGCTGTAAACGTCAAAAAAGTAAGGTTATTGTGACAAAATATATTGGCATAGCTTAATCGTATAGCAGCATATGATTTTGTTATAAAATTTTTGAGCAAATTTGAAAAACAACTTTTGTGACTGATCATAACAATTTGATCACCCATTGTAAGATAAATTCTTTTTCTAACAATGGTTACCCTAATATTGGTGCTATGATTATATGCTTCTTCGAGGTTTCAAAGGCAGTTTGACAGTCTCAATCCCAGCAGTAACCTCTTGCTTCCTTGATAAGTCGCATTAATGTGAGAAAACTTCTTAATAAACTTCCGATAGTAAGTAGATAGTCCAAGAAAACTTCTCAGTTGATGTTTGTCAGTCGGTTCTGGCAATGCCTTTTTCTCTTGTTTGAATCAACAAATTAATTTAAAATACGTAATTCTGAAGGTTTTTTATCAAATAAAATGTTTATATCTAAGTATAAATACATAACTTTTAATGGTAAGCGAAATAATCGCATCTTTGGCATTAAATTATTAATAAATATCTCGCCGAAATTTCTCCGTATACGTTTTACCTGTGAATGTTTCTATCTTTTGAAATAAAATAAAACTAAATTATATTAATAATTGAAAACAAATGCTAAATTAAATATTACAGTACCTATTCATATTGTTTATGATTATCATTGTTATCTACTTTTTGTTTGTACCAATGGCCATAGTTGTCAAGGTACTTTATGTAAATAAATAAATAAACTTTTTGATTGCAATATTTATGGTTATTATTCTTTTCTTATTGTATTTTTAGTAATTTTGGACGCCATGTAAATATTTAAATAAATATATATGTTTCTTGTCTACATACTTGTTTACTTTCCACCCCATTCCAAGGTAAAATGACGATCCCGCTGAGTAGTGTTACCCAAAATCTGTCTTGGTCTTGCAGTCTTGTTCTTGCGTTTTTGCAAGACCAAGACCGCCTAATTTTAGCAAGACCAAGACTGACCTTGCAAGATTTAAGCAAGAACAAGACTAAGCCTGCGAGACTCTTGCGTCTTGCAGTCAGGACTGAGTGTCGTTTTAGCGAATATAGTAGTTCCGGTATATTTTTAAAGACTCTGTAAGACACACAAAAATATGTAATAAAAATTAACCATATTCGTCAAATAATATAAACAGAAATTTGTAAAAATAGTCTAACCCATGTTTTCATTATAAATATGTGGGTGAGACGATTGTTGCAAATCTTTGTAAGGGTCTTTTCATTGTGTTCACCAGATGCAAAATATTAAATTGAACAAATCTTTATTTTGACTTAATAAAAGACGAGAAATTTATTATTATACTAATATTAGAATTTTATTTAAATAAATAAAATTACACCAAACTAGAGGCTTTATCTTTAATAGTAAAATACGAAAGTACATTATTTAAAACTGTGAAATTGCTTTGTGGTCAGCTCGGCAATTGATTAAAGAAATTTTTAAATTCCTTGTACCCAAAAAGATAACAATATGTTTTGCGATTACTCGAATGTCGGTGCTACAAATGCCGACAAAAAATTGCATTATCAAATAACGAAATCATTCATTGTTCATTATATAAAATATTGGAACTGCTGCTTAAAGTCAAAATTCTGCTGAGTAGGCGATGACACCATTCAATTAATCAAAATTTGCTGAAAGTGCGCGGCTAATATGTATTCAAAAGTAACGAGACAAATTAATAACAGATAATGTCGCCTATCGTGTAAACAAAATACCGAAATATTAAGAATAACGATATATAATTATCGGTTTGTTATTAGATACTTAGGGTATTGGATAGTAACGGACATAAAGTAACTATTATAGTAGTATTATAGTTTATTCGTCTTCCGGGTTTGGACCGTGTCATTTGTGAGTGACCCAAAAGTGGGTTCATCTCGACGTTTCGCTACAATTGTATGTAGCTTCTTCAGGAGAACAAAAAAGAAAAAAGAAAGAAAGAAGAAAACAAAGAACAGGAAGATGGGTAGTTAGCAAGGGTAACTCAGTTACTCAACGCAACCAGAGGCGAATACTAACTACCAAGATGGGCATTTGGTCACAGTAACTCAACTACTCAACGCAGCCAGAGGTGAAAACCAAATGCCAGGACAGGGATTCACGTCCAACAGCTCAGAACACTAACGCGTCGAGAGGCGGGGAGTGAATCCGACGATTACTCCGCTACCGCTCTATTTATAGTCGCGGTGCCTGTCGTGTCGGGACGTATCGGCACACTTCGTGGCGCGAACGTCAAGAAGCGCGCGCTGGCCAATCATGTGGCTGCATCGTAGTGGCGGGACCGGACAGCGGTTCTAGACTGAGATTCCAGATGGGAGACAAGTAGTATCCTTCCTCTCGATTGATATTATGGGGATTTTTTCGGATCTCTAGAGATTCGCGGATTTTCCTGGAATAAAAGAAGGGGCTTTTAGAAATAATATGGGTTTTTTCGAACAATATGGAATGACTGGTTTCTTGGCAGTGTTCTGCAACTGCAGAATGGGAGAAAAGACCTGATCGAATGCATCTTTGATGCTCTTGAATCCGAGTTTTGACGGAACGACCAGTTTCGCCAATATACACATGTCCACATGAACAAGGAATAGAATAGACACCACAGGAAGATAGGGGCGGTAATGGGTCCTTAGGAGAGGGTAGATATTGTGAGATTCTCTTGGGTGGTCGAAAAGTAGTCCTGATACCTTCTTTGCGAAGAATTTTGCCAATCCTATCAGTGACATTTCGAATATACGGAAGAAAAGCCACAGGAGTATTACCCGAAGATTCTGAATTTGTCGTCCTAGGGTGTAAAGGGGGATGTAGATGTCGGTGTGTAATATTTTGAATTGTGGACTTGGAGTAGCCGTTGGCGACAAGGGTTTTTTGCAGATGGCCAAGTTCTTCTCTAAGGTTGTCGGGTTCAGAAATCGAAATGGCCCGATGGATGAGAGAGTTGATCACAGAATTCTTTTGGGCAGGATGGTGGTGTGATGAAGCATGTAGGTAACGATTCGTGTGAGTCTTTTTTCTATAAACAGAGTGACCCAATCGGCCATTGGGCTTGGAGGTGACTAACACATCGAGAAAGGGAAGGGACCGATTATTTTCTACTTCCATTGTGAATTTTATACTCGGATGTTGTGAGTTAAGATGATCTAGGAAGGGAGAAAGGGTATGTTGACCATGGGGCCAGATGATAAATGTATCATCAACGTAGCGGAACCAGACTTTTGGTTTTAAGGGGTAAGATTCTAGGGCTAAAGACTCGAAGGCTTCCATGAAAATGTCAGCAATGACAGGGGAAAGGGGAGAACCCATTGGTGTTCCAGATATTTGTTTGTAGAAATTGCCTCTAAAAGAAAAATATGTTGAAAGGAGGCATTTTTCCGCAAGATCTGCCAAAACCAAAGACTTGTTATCATTGGTCAAGTGATCTCGCAGAACGACTAGAGAGTCATGTATGGGGATATTGGTAAATAGGGATGATACATCGAAACTGACGAGAATGTCTTGGGGATCGACTGTGAGAGAGGAGATTAAGGTGATGAAATGTGTGGAATTTCGGACATAAGAAGAGGTGCGACCAGTATAGGTCTTAAACTGATTCGACAAGTACTTTGCGAGTTTGTAGGTAGGAGAGTTAATCGTAGTCACAATGGGACGAAGAGGTACGTTATCTTTATGGATTTTGGGAAGACCATAAATTCTGGGGCAGATGGAGTTTTTCGGAACTATGGACTTCTTAATATCATCGGAAAGATCGGATTGTTTGATGACATGGGCAATTTCGCGTTCGACTCTAGGAGTGGGGTCTCGAGAAATTGTATTATAACAGGATGTATCCCTAAGTAAGTCGTTTACTTTCTCTATGTAGGAAGGAGTATCCAGGATGACTGTGGCATTACCTTTGTCTGCAGGAAGGATTATTATCTCAGAAAGAGAACGGAGATTTTTGAGAGCTATGAATTCCTCACGAGATATATTGGAAGTAGGGATTTTGGCTGTATCAAGACATTTAGCGACGTCAAAGCGGATACGGTCGGCTGGAATTTTGGGAATTGTGCGGAGTGCCGCTTCCACATTTGAAACTATTTCTTCGGTAGGAATTCTGGAAGGAGTGATAGCAAAATTAAGACCTTTAGATGGTTACTTTTTCGACATCACTGAACTTCATTCCCAATTGAGCTTTCCTTTGATTCTAGTGTAATAATAATTGTTTTTCATCTAATCCTTGTTGTTCCCGGAGTGACAAGTTTACAATTTGACATGAGGGACAAAGATTCAAATAGTTATAGTCGGAGTAGCGAGCGTTGGAATTATAGATCTGAAAGACCTAAAAGCAAATTTGATGATTTTTTCGAAATAATTGCTTTGTGTAAATTATAAGGTTGAAATGAAAAACAGAAACGCGTCAGGTTTAAGGAAACATCTAATATCTTTTCACAAAAAGGAATTACAAATATTTCGTCCTGAAAAACCAAAATTCGATGGAGATACCACAAGCTTTTTAATAACCGCTGGAAAAGTGGACATGTAAAATATATACTTATTAGCTTATTACCAATCACATATATGTACCTACTACTTTATTTTGGCAAATTATTTCCTTAATTTAAAATAATTTCTTTTGATTATCATTGCTTTTTTACCTATTCTTTATTTTTCCAAGTTTTTATAGTTTTTTATATAAAAGTTGAGCTAAGATCGTTAAGAACATTTATATTACTTTAATAAGTGGAATATAGTTTGTTATCTTATTACCTAAATAATCTGTGCCCTTGATACCTGTATGAGGATTTTTTGTCACTTACCAATATTTTTTAAGATTTCCATTTCATATATGGGGAATCCGTTTTTAGACAGACAATGTTCTTAAAATACAGTCAAGTTTATATCAGAACTTTGTTTTTTTTGTGATTTAACCATGTTTTAGCTCATATAAGTTTATTAAATGCACACAATTATTAAGAAACAGATTGACTTCCGTGGTGCATGGTAGATAGCTGAGTTAGTTAGAGCATAGGTACGGATCGCTTAGATCGTAGTTTCAAACCCTACCCAGTGTCAGTTGTACTACATTTATTAATTTGGTTGGTCTTTATTACGGCTATGTTAACTCAAGCTTAAAATGTACTTGCTCTGGTACGTTGTTCTAAGATTTAAAGTAACGTTTAATAAATAGGCTAATGGGTAACTGCGAGACTTGCAAGACTCTTGTTGCAAGACCAAGACCAGGTGTATTGATGCTAGACCAAGACTGTCCAAGTCTCGTCTTGTTCTTGAATTTGGGCAACACTAACGCTGAGAAATAAAAATTTGCGCTACGATCTTCCCATCGCGTGCTGGTTTATTTTATAAGAGTTTATTTCTGTATAAACTACTATTTTAATGGAAAAAAGCCACAATTTAAGGTTAAAGTAAGTTTATTGACGTTAAAATTAAATATTTATTCCCATTAAAATAGTAATTACTTTAAAATGTCACAAGAACGTAGCTTCAGAACAATAACATACTATTTGTCTGATAATGGTTTTGTGGATCTTGATTTTATAGACCTTGATCACCAGTGCGTGTTTTTGGAGCGGAACACATGGGGGAGTGAGAAATAAGGATTTTTTATCTATCCTATTCTTGCTGGAATTTTTGGTTCTTCTGTTTCATTTGTGCTTAATGCATCTCTCAAACATGTGAAACTTTCTAGTTTTAATATCGTCCTCTAATTCAACTGTTCGTCTGTTATTCCCAGATCTTACCTGTGTTAGCTTTTTGGATATTTATTTCCAGTCCGGTCTCTTTTGCCCTGTTTTTTTAATTGCGAATATATTTCTGTCGCTCTTCATGCTGATCTCATCGACATAGATGCAATCTGCATGGATTTATTTATTAACACGGCGCCAGACGCCAGTACGGTAAACTAAAATGTAAAAAGCTGTGTGGTTGTATATTATTTATCTATGACTAAGCGCTAACTGTGGTGTCACTCGCTAAGCAGCAGCACCACAGAACACTAATCACAACCAGAAGCGAAAGCTTTGTCGGAACCTTTGATGTTGGGAGGACAGAAATTCAGAGTGACAGTAGCAATGAACCTACATTTGATTACACGAAGAAAAGTAGTGAGGAAGTCGTTCAAAACTGTAGTAAATGATAGTTACACTGAGAAATGAAGTAATCATTTTTAAGTAATCTGTTTTGTATGAATTTTATTTTTTCTGTAAAATTTAATATAACTTATATATCAATTCTGAACTGATAATTAAAAAGTTGTTAAGTCAAAAATATCGATTTGATATTTTTTTTTTTAAAACAAATTAACGTACTAAAAGTATTTTAGTACGTTAAAAAACCGATTGAATTTGAGAGTTAATTTTAAAATAGAGATGAAAAGCTTGATTTCTATTACTTTTTATCGTTTTTTTAAGGTTAATAAAACACTTCATCACTCAAAATCTATATTTTGACTCAAGACTTTTTTACTTATCAATACAGAATTATACTTTTGAAATTTCTATTAACTTTGTCTTAAGTTGCTGACTTTTTTGTTTCCTGTTGAGGAATTTCTTTGAATGTGAATATCTATTAACCTCCAACACCACGATATTTTCGCTGCGGGTAAAAACTCTGCAGCTGCGGCTAGAATGAATGTATACAAAATGACCTTAGATTTCTTTCTATGCATCTGAGGTCTCTGAAACTTCTGGTTGTATTGTAGTAAATTCAACTCGCCAGGACATATCAAATTTATGGTAGGAAAGGGTAAAAAGTTGTAATAAAACAGAATAATAAAAATTTATTGTAATTAATATACACGTATACCTCTTCGATTTCTCTTTCTGTGCAACTGAGGTCTCTGAAACTTCTGGTTGTACAGTACTACATTCAATTCGCCTGGATATATCACATTAGTAGTAGGGAGGGGTAAAAAATTGTAATAAAACACAATAATAATAATAGAAATTTATTGTAATTAATACTAATAATAATGTTTATTTAGGAAGCTTAGATTATAATATAGATTTACAAAAAATAAGCATACTTAACACTAAATAAATATGAAAAATCACTGAAATAGAGCTACCATAAAAGTAGCACCCCTTGTGTGTGATACTTCAAAAATATATGTGCAAGAAAGCAAATATTTAACAAATGTATTAATATAAACAGTTACATATGCGCACTTACAAAAATACATTCATTTTAATATAGCATGTGACATAAATATGTCAATAAATTCAAGAAATATTGTCAATATATTTTTATTTATTACTATGATCAATTAATCTGCTTTTCGCAGAATTGTGTTATTTTGTTTCCAATCCATTGTTTAAATTTATACTGATATCCATGTTTTTTATAACTCTTAATTTGTTTTAAATTCTCCGGTAGACAATTGTATCATTTGGGCCCTATGTAGCCAACATATTTCTGGAGTATGGATTTATTACATTTGGATAAAATTGCATTATTCCTTATATATCTAGTTTGATGCGCATGATTGCTAATGTAAAATAGTATCCTTTTTTATTTCATGTATGTGTATAAGAGCTTTGTAAGAGGACAATTTACGTACAGTTAAAAATTTATTCTCGTTGTATAACAGTTTGCTGTAATATCTTAATCTTTTTCAAAAAAATCTAATTAAGCACTTCTGAATGTTTATAGAATGCAAGTAAATATTCCTTATACCGCCCCATTCTAAAAGACCATTATAAGCATGGATAAACATAACCCGGATGGGAATAGAATAGAAATATATGCTTTATTGTCATTGAAAATTTTACAGTTTTATGGACGAAGCTTACAAAGACTCAGAGGAAAAAGACAATAACAAACTGCATAATCAACCGTAGGAACTAATAAGTTTAAGCTACTTTGGGTAATGATGACCCACGGGTAAAGAACCATGGAACTGTACATTAAGATATTGTAATTTCTTAGTTATTAATTAAGAAACTCTTCTACTGAATAAAATGGTCTTTCCAATAGATAGGCTTTTATCATTTAAAGTATTTTAAGTATTTAAAATCATGAGACTTTAAGTTATCCCAAAGCTTTTTAACACCATTCATTGTTACAATCCAACACTTTTTTGATCGCGAACGACATGTTACATCTTTTCCTGTTTTATCTATTATATTTTCAGTTTATGTACCAAATCTATCATAGAATCAAGGTAATTGATCTGAAAATCAGTTTCCTCAAATACATTTTTAAATTTGTTAGGATTATTGTTATCAGTAGAATTTAAAATATCAAACAAATTATTAAATTTTTCAATAATTTCTATTGTTCCCAATGCATCTGATGGAAGAATACCAAGAGAAATATATGTATACATAGAACTTGCAACAGTGTTACTTAAAATTTGAGATGCTAGTTTTACTCGCATTTTTTCAAAAGATGTAGGATATATATGAGAGTGTGTTAGTTTTGGTGCACACTTATAGAACTGCTTTTTATCTTCATGATAAAAAGTTTCTATAAATGACCAAGATGTTTTTTTATCATCAAAATAAAAAACATTATTAATTAAGTTATTTCTAGTGGCTTTAATTAAATGACATGGATCATATATATATATAAACAATTTTAGAAAATTCGTTCCCATATCAGTAACAAGATAATTCACATATAAACCTGATTGAAATAGTTTAGAAATACATTCTTTTATAATAGGAAGAAGATGATTTGCTTCAAAGGTAGTGTTTACAAAGAAATATGCTAGTTGTTGTTTCCAATTTGAATATAAGCCTTGAACAATTATCACAAGTATATTTTGTGCAATTATTGATTCCTTTTTCCCATTTCCTATATCATATAGACCAACAATCTCATCACCACCTGTATCAAAAAATAAATTACTTTTAATAAACATTTCATCAATACAAATACTACAGTGCTTGTCCTGATCTAACATTGTGTTCACTTTTAACTTTAGGGCATCAAATATTTGGTCATTATTCAAACCAGGTTTACAGACCAAATTTTCAGTAATTTTTTGAAGACTTCGTTTTGAGGGCAAAAACAATATTCTTTCCATAAAAGCATACGCTCTTGGGCCCAAAAAATACAGTGTTAATGCAAATTGTTTATATTCATCGGAATACCTTCTACTTTTTGGACATTTAGTTTTTAAAATTGCTTGAGCTTTCACTATTTGTGCTAGGGATTTGTTTAAAAATTTGTCAAACATTTGAAAAATTTTTTTTAAAGATTTATTGTCTTCCTTCTGTTTGGAAGACGCATATGCTTTCTTTGCACTTGCACGCAATTTTTTATTTTCAATCTAAGTTTCCTTTTTCTTGGTGTACCTCCCGACAACTTGGAGGGGGTTTGTGTTGCAGCTGTGAAAAATGGAGCTGGAGTATGGGCCTAGGTGGGCTAGACACTTCCTGCCTATTAACATCTGAAATATAAAAATATATTTAATAACCATAAACATATAAACGTTCAAAGTAGATATGTTAATGCTTATTAGTGATTAGTTGAATGCATAATACAGTTGTAGCAATAAATAAAATTACCTGTTACCAGAAACTCTTCCATCAAAGTATTAGGTACAGTATTATGGTTTTTATCAGTTGGACTATTAATTACTTCCTGTACATTATAGGTTTCAGTGGTACCTAAAACAACGACATAAATATTACTCAGTATGTAACCATAAGATATATTATGTTCTTAATAAGGCTGATAAAAGATCATTAAATTTCACAATTCCAGATCTTGTTTATATTATGAAAAACAAACAACTTTGTATATAGTTGTAAGTAGATACTGATTTTTATATGACTTTTATAATAAAGCACTATAATTGTGAATAAATAAAAAGTATCTACCTTCCAGCCTTATGACTTTCTTTAATGGTTCGTCTGTGTGTTTTGAATATTGGCTGTGTGAGAAAATCGTTGGATGTGCTTGTTGAAATAAATACTTCCGTGTTTCCTTTGTACATGTACACCGGTTCAAAATGTTTCTCGCACATTCTATAATTAGTATGCAATTCAGCACCCTTGGAAAGCAGATTCAGCTCTAAAAAAAAAAGTGTATTTAACTAAAATATAAACATTCAGACAACATTTGTAATACGTTTGAATTTAAAATTTAATTTGTTTACCTGCTACGATCAGTCGGTATTGAAAAGAGACTAATTCCTTCCCCAGTTTTCGATGGGCACCCACGAACAACACAATAAAATCCTCCCTTTCGTGCAGCCATCACAATAAGTTTATTACACAAATATATTAAATTAACTAACTAACTAAATAATTCTCAATACAATACAATAACACTTCTCAATATATAAACAAACAAGGCATCGCATCAACACTACTAACACTATGGCCGATTTCGCACATGCGCAAAGAAATTTGGATTGCGAAAAAGCCCTCCGTTTTGCTTCTTGTTGTGATTAGTATTCTGTGGCAGCACTATAAAGTGACGTGTTCAACCAAAACCCACTGTGTCGGGATTCCCCCGGTCTACCCTACTTCAATTAAAATACTTTATTATATTTATTTATATTCTTATCAGTTATTTTGTTATAGAAATAATACATTTTAAAATCAGTAACCAGTTTCCAACTCATCAGAAAGTCTCTCTAACAATAAACCATTGAAACACGTCAACTGCCACTGAATCATTATTTACCTTCATTTTCACCCAAGAACACTCAGTTTGTAGTATTTACCTTCTGCTTTCGATTTCTTGCAGTCTGTAGTCCAGAAGATTCTTATCCAATCTGTGCTTACACAAATACTGACCGTTGAGAAACACTACAGGAATCTCGTAACGATAGAGCCTCAGATACCGAAGATTTTCTTTTTTGGATATATCGACGGTACTGAAATTGATTCTACTCAGATAAGTATTAAGCTCTAGTTTTAATTCATCGCACAAGGGACAGGGTTCTTTGGTATATAAAGTTAACGTTGGACGTTCGCCTGCAGGTAGATCGTCACACCTTTAAAAAAATTCTTAAATCAAATTAATAGAAAAGAGAACATAGAAAAAAATACTTATTAGCTGTATTAAAATTATTCAAATCTATAATCTTTGGAAATTAAATTAAATGAAATTATTGTTTTTTATCAGTTACCGTATTTCTCCAAAGGACATTTCCCAACCGCATAATTTCAACAAACGGTACAATCAAGTGGACTTCAAAATCGGTAGATTTGTCCCCAAATGATTTTTTTTGGGCTTTCTTAAATCAAATATTTATCGGCAAAATTTTAAATGTGCCAAAAATTTAATGGAGTTATAGGTGAAAATTGTCCAGCAATGTGTCAACATTACGCCGAATCAATTCAGAAATACAAGAGTATCTTTGTTAAATAGATTCAGCTATTTGGTATCTCGGGTAACATCAAAGCATATTATTTTGCTAAAGAAGCGACTTCAAAAGGATTAGAAATTAGTTGGCTCAATAGAAGTGTCTCCTGTATTAATCTCGCTGCGTAAACAAGAATTAAAAGAAAACTGAGAAATTGAATGGAATGCTTTCTGTAACAGAAGTAACAACCTTTATATAAAAATTCACACGGTTTTACCTACTGCGTCTTTTGTGGCAAGAAGTCATCCCAATAGAAGAGTATATTCAGTAAAAAAAAGAGGTTAAATCTTTGTAAGTGGGTATATTTAAAAAAACCCTTAAAAGGGCTACATCAAATTAACAAACGTTTTCGGAATAATAATTCCATCATCAGGTTAAAAGCAGGTTAACATGCCTGAGCCACCAAAATATTAGGGTAAAAACCCTTTAAAGTAGATAAGGTTACCAAAGATTGTACATATTGTTGTTAAAAATTATTGATGTTTAATATTTTATTATATTTTACTTTAGGTAACATACACCCACGTCTTACGTGAGTACCAGCGTCCCGAGAGTAGACCTCTTCAAACGGACTTCAGCTGGTAACTTTTGTCTTCGTGGCCACAAACTTAAGTTTAAAAAGGAAACTTTTTTAACAACAACTAGACAATTTTTTCTCTGTAATCGAGTGTTCTCGATATGGAATAGCCTTCCGGCTGAGATCATAGATGCTCCATCTGTCAATATTTTCAAAAATAAACTGGATGACCATTTGTTCCATAGTTGAACATTTAATTTGTACTGAACACTTGCTATTACCTATGTTTTTGTTTATTCATTTAGTTAGTTAGTGCTTAATATGTAACTATTGTAATGTAACCATTTAATTGCACACTATGAAACATTGTATTCACATGGGCATCTGGGTTTTGCGACCCCTGCTCAAATTTATTGTAAATAATAATAATAATAATGTTCGGGTGCATATATAATGATGCTGCTATATCTATTGGAAAATCTGATAAGAGAACAAATACTTCTTCCTCAGAGCCAATCTTCTATATTATATATATATATATATATATATATATATATATATATATATATATATATATTGTTGTATTTTTGAATGTCCATTAGCAATAAAAACCGATATACAAATTTTATTACTTAAATAAAAATTAAGATTATTGATATTTCATAAAGATACGGGCATATAAAGTTTCAAACATCCTGTATAAGACAAAATATGTATTTTAAGTTGTTCAAAGAATTGTTCATTAGGCCTCAGAGACAAGACTTTCAAATATTATCGATAAGAAATTTAAATAAGTCGGTTATTGTGAAATGGATTTACCCGTAATAAAAGTGTATATAGAAAGTGTTTAAACAATAGACCGGGATGTGCGGTGGTTTTTCCCCCCGAAAGATTATATCGGTAAAAGTTTATTAACAAAAGACATTGAATTGAGAAACAGGTATCGTTTGTAGCTATTAGTAAGAAATATTTGTAAAGCAGATAGATTTAGTTAGAATAATTAAAGAATGTTGTTTTCTGGAATTACCCGAATGACGTTTTATAAAGAGGAGTTGGTTGGTAACAATACGTCACAGAGATGGATGATTTTGATTGGTCAATTTTTGAATGGAATGGAGGTAGTGGTTTTGGCTATGAGATAGGAGAGAGGAAAAAAGGAGTTAGTCAGTTTTCGTCGCCCAAGAAGGAAGGAGCTTTGTGGTTTGTGTTTGTTTGAAGTCCCGAAGACGTAATTTACCGGGTGTGTTTATTTGCTGTGTAAAAGCTGATCAGTGTGAGGAACGGGGTACAGAGAGATAGAAAAACCAAAAGGTTATAAGAATATTAATATCAGACGAAGCCGGAAACATTTGAAGTTATAAACAGGCGCGGAGATTGGTTCAAAAGGAGGCTGCATAGAATTACACGAGTTGTTGGGTTGCAGATACAAGGACAGATAGGAGAAAGGTGTACGTTTTCTGGACCAAAATAGGAGCAGAAGCAGAGAAAGGTTTTTTTTTATGGCGTGGCCATAGAATTGCAACGGCAGATAACGAAAGGTCAGTCAATTTTCATTAGAGCAGGAGTGTGGTTTTCATTTATAAATTAAATAAATTGAATAAAAATAGAGACAGTTAATTTTGCGATCATTTAAAAAAAAAAATTATAAAGAGAGCTTAGTTATAACACATATTAAAAATCAATGTAAAATAACATTTGGGTCCATGATAGAAAACAACTTCTCATATATTTAAAGTATTGTATTGCAAATATTACCGGATTGATTGTTATATAAAATTTCAATAAAATAAAGGACATCTCACATATACTTCAGTTGAAATTCTGTGTATTTTATTCAGGTCATATTACCTATCCCAATTAGGAAGCCAATTGGAAAATATTTTGAATCCACGATCAAAGGTAAATAGTACAAGTTAAATAACCTGAGATTGTAATTAATTAATGCTGATTTATTGGAGATTAGATCATTTAATAAATATAGACAGGATCTTTTCTAAATAAGCAATAGAATACAATTTAAATAGCATAACAAAATGGCCCCCAACGTGTAAAGCTTTGAAAAATATTTCTAGTTGGCAAATTTGAAAGGATAGGAGTAGACGAGCAGATATTTGAAAGTTTATATGCCGTGGATAAAGTGAAATATTATGTAAAATTTGAGGACATAAAGATTTATATATTTTTTTTTAAGATACAATTTACCATAATTGATTTATTCGTGATATTGACAATTTATAGGTTACCATAATTGATTTATTTGTGTGATATTTACATTTGATAATTTTACCATACGTGATTTATTTGATTGAATTTGACATTTGATATTTTACCATTTGATTTATTTGTGGGATATTGAAATTTGATACTCGTACTCAAGAGTTATTACATTTGAACAAGAAAAGTCCCGTTTGTTGCAACAGACCAGTAGAATTTTATATTTGGCGGGGATAAAAACAGAATAAATGCCAAACACAAGAAACAAGAGCAAAGAGAACAAAAAACAAGAAGATAAATCAGAACAGGAAGAATATTCAGACCAGGAAGACGTATTAGACACAACAGTAATGGAGACAGAAAAACAAGAATCGGGAATAGAAAAATTAATACAAATGATGCAACTCCAATCACAGAAGATGGATGAATCACAACAAAGAACGGAACAAAAATTGGATGAATCACAACAAAGAACGGAACAAAAATTGGACAAATTGGAAGAAAACCAAAGAAAAATGGAACAAAAAATGGAAACGCGTATGGACAAATATGAAAACGAAATAAAAGTCTGTTTAGAAAGAAGTAGGGAAGAAACAGAGAGGAAACTAGAATTGCAGAGAGAAGAAATCGAAACTAAAATGAAGGATATTCAGAGTATGCAAGAAAGGGAATTAGAACAGATAGAAATAAAATTTGAAAATGCGCTACAAGAAGACCGGAAAGAAACGGAAAGGAGATTTAAACAAATTGCAGAGATGGAGATAAGAGGAGTAGAAAGAAAGGAAGTTATCGTACATAGCACAGAAGACGTAAAAGTACGATTTGGCGGGGATATAAGGAAACTACACCCAGTGCCTTTTATAAATAACCTAAAGAAAAAAGTCACATACATAGGACCGTTTGCAACAGCAAAGGAAACCATCCGAAATCATCTCAAAGAAGAGGCAAATCTTTGGTTTGTCAGCAAGGAAGAAGAATTTGACAATTGGCAAGATTTTGAGAGAAGATTCTTAAATTATTTCTGGGGAAAAATCCAGCAACTACAAGTAAATAAAGAGTTACAAAATGGAAAATACCATGAGAGGATGGGCGTATCAGAAACGATGTACGCATTACAACTCTATAATAATGCAAAACATTTGCAATATAATTAGTCATCAGAACAATTGGTAGAGTTGATATCGCGACACTTTGAAGATACCTTGGAAGACCACATAAATCTCCAAAATTACAAGGACATTGATAGCTTATGTAAATTTTTGCAAATGAGAGAATCACGTAGGCATGAAAGAAGAGAAAGAAGACCGCAAGAAAATTATAGACAAAGAGAAAACCAAGAATATAGAGATAGAGGTCAAAATTTTAGAAGAGATTATACAAGACGAGAATTCATACCTAGACAGGGATACGAAAATAGACCGAACGGAAGAGAGAATTATGAACCCAGAACCCAGAGATGGAATGAAAACAGGGATCGGGAAAATCAGAGTAGAAATAACCGCCCATACCAAGGAAACCGATACAATAACCCACGGAATGAACAGGAATCTCGCGGTAACCGATACGGGAATGATAGACCAAAAGAGAACAGAAGAGAAATAAATAATACGCAAAGAGAAGAAAATGAATATGAGAGAGAAGATGACGGGCGAGAAAACACAGAAGAACAACAGGCGTGTTTTCAAGAAGGCGCTCACTAAAAACGAAGAAACAAACAGGAATTTTTTGTCACCCCAAGGAATTTATTAAACTGGCAGGAAACAATGAAAAAAGAAATGGAGTTAATTTAAAATTTGTGGATGGATTTATAAATGAGAAACCAATTAAAATTATGATAGACACAGGCTCTGAAATAACACTGGTCAACAGAAAATTAATCGAAGAAGTAAATTTAACA